AGCCTTCACAGAAGGGAGCTGTGACAAATGCCAAATTCTTTTTTAACACATTGACGACATTGAGACGCGGTAACGCGTCTCACTTTGCGCACCTCGTTGGACATTGAGACGCGTTACCGCGTCTCACCCTTATCATCCCTTTTTCTAGGGCATGCGCAGCTTTTTCCCGAATTGTTTGTCTCTCTTCTATGGATTAGAACATAACATTATTGTGAACGACATAGGTCATTGTTTGTTCAAATATGCTCCAGTTTAGAAGAAGTTTTCCAAGCTCACCGAAACCGGCGGCTTGGTTCATTAATAGTTTTCATGCTATTCTCATGAACACGTCAATAAAAAAGGGTAGTGAAAGTAAATGCAAATCTAAAGAGACAGAAAAATACATGCTTCACTTGGTATAACCACATCAAAAGAGCTTTTGGCATCCACTACAGATAAAATGACTAAAGTTTCCTTTTTCATTACCATTACATGTTCTTTAATCGGAACTTCGTCACTATATACTCTATTACCTTCTACGCATTGACTGTTACTGAGATGTTTTTGTACCACTGGTGCTTTAAAAAGTTATCAATAAAAATTCACGGATCCGAGGTGCGGCGGTCGCACTCGCAAAATCGGCCCGGTCCCACACGGCCAAAAAAGCCAAAACGCGCGCGGTCGTCAATGTGTTAAATTAGTAAACCATGCAAAGCAGTTTCAGAGGGAAAAGTGGATAAGTTAATCGGTTCCCTTCATTTTTTTGAAGTTGAGAATTTATGTGCCCCTCCACTTCGTTACAGTATTCGTCACCATTGAGCTGAAAAATCGACACAGTGTTCAGAGCATGAGGTTTAAAGGCAGTGATCACTATGGCTAGAGGGAGGTTTGGTCTGATGGCGCCGTTGAACGTCATTGGCGGACCAGACGGTTCAGCCAATTGGCGGGCGTGGTTGGGACCGCCTCCTAACATCCGCCCACCCAATGACGTTCAATGACGTCCAAAACCGCAACACCTTCATTGATTGTGATCGCTGCCTTTAGGAGCACAAATTCTAGAAATTTCTATCAAGACCACTAGACTGTAATGTGGATCTCGAACAAAATCTGCTACACAAATTTATTAGTGCACTTCACAGGCTGGAAAAACAGACCAAGGAAGTCAGCTCGTAGCTCACAGGTTAGTACTCAACACTGACGGCAACACCATGCAATCTGCTCAGACACAATCGTTCAGACGAAAAAGGTTGTTTAGCGGCACGTTATACACTAACCGCAAACAAAACGGGTCAATGACGACTGCATGCACTGTGTCGGACAGTGTTGTTTAATCTTTTTAACACCGAGTTTCATCTTTGCCAGCAGATCGGGCGCTGTTACGATCCGAGGGGTTTGCCGGGTGGTTGGTGGAGGGGTTAGTTGAATGGAACCACCTTGACAGTTGTGACGATCACTCTTGTTGGCACACTGACAAGTGCAGTCCGAACCGATCAGCCGAGCCGCTGGGCCCATCGGAACCTGCACAAATGGCAATTGAGAGTTGCTTTTGTAAACTTGTGGATCCAGTACTTTTATCCTAGTTCGCAAAGTGCACACTATTAATTATTTGGCATGTAAAGAAGAGCAAGTTGCAAAAGAACTTGCCAGCGCGCGGTCCCGTCAGCAGCTTCCGTTTGCCATTCTGCTACTGCCTGATGTTTTGTGATCGTGCATGATATAAAGATGACTCTTCACATATTTAATGGATTTTGACACCGACGAGGCTGTGACCCGTTCTTGCTTTCTGATGGGGAGGGGTGGAAGAGGGGTTTCTCACAACTAAGGCGCCTTTTGAAACAATAGCCTGTCGGCAGTACAACCAGTGGTTCATGACGGCGGAAAAGCTCCGGGCCTGGAGCTCATTGCATTTATAGAAACCCTTATTGATCCGTCTCCCGGTTTGGCCCTGCATAAACCAACCACCGAATGGATCGATATGCGCCAATCAATCCAGAATCAAAAATTGATGCCCAACTACGTTCACTACACGATGAATCGAACGTTACATTGGGGCCGCAATCGTAGCACGAGCACCAAGGTGTGTTCTTCCATGGAGATGTTCAGCGTCTGATTGAGCATGAAGCGTCCGTTACCCACATATACCATTTCCACAACCTGAAAGAAACCTTAAAAGTTTAAAATAACAAATATGTAGGAACAACCGTGAACTCACCGGTCGTTCCAGCATCCGAACGCTGTGCGGATGGCAGCGCTCATAGGAATCGCAACAACTTCCCACACACTGCATGACCTGAAAACAAGTTTGAAGACCCATTTCTCGCCCTCTCTAGGGGTGTCCCCCAACAGGCCCACCGCGCGGCGAAGCAAGAGACGCAGACGCGGCAAAGGGACGAGTCGCAGCGCATACTGTAGCGGTTAGGCGTCAGGTTAAAGAGAGTGTACCATACTACGTCTCATATCGCACAGCACGCGCTGCAACTCGTCTCTTTGCCGCATCTGCGTCTCTTGCTTCGCCGCGCGGTGGGCCTGTTGGGGGACACCCTGTCTACAATGTAAGGTAATTAGCTCCTCGAAGTGATGCATGAAGCGCGACAGGGGGCTATTGCCTTTTCATAACCCCTTTCGCTGACCGCAGTTCCTCTGCAACTACGTAATAGATAACGCAGCGATGCGTCTGCGTCTCATCCGTCCCTGTGCTCTCTCGTTTATTTTCTCGACTTGGCACACAGTGTATCGTAGATTATCTGTCTCCCCTGTCTTCCTCATGAAGACGTTCACTACTCGAGAGGAGAATATTCCTACTTTCAAGGAACTCGTCGGTTTCTCTTTTCTTCACTGACGGTGCAATTTACACCTCTAATTTCATTTTGAGCATGGCCAATCCAATTTGGCCATAGAAAGCGTTTCTAAAAGGCGTTAGAATGCAATTCAAAAGCGTTTTGCAGAGTGAAGCTGTGGAAGAGCTCGTCGTTCTTATATGTTTCCATCGAGTTGTTCCTTCAAAGCATTACTCAACACTTGCTCAGGAGCATTTCAAACCTTCAAAACAGAGAAACAGGTATGGAGCGAGCATATGTGGTAGCTAGAAACACCTGGCTAGCTATAACTAACTACCAAGTACTGCATGGATCCAGTACGTTCTGTTTCTATTAAACTCTTAGGCAGTGGACAAATGCGTGGCGCTTCCAAATAAATCTATGAAGATGGCCAGTTCCCACGTCAAACAATTACCGAACGTATCGCGCATAGAAATCATTTTTTGTTAAGCTTGTGTAGTAGCGTCGAGGCAGCCTGACCAACATGGGCGTGACTCCATCCGCGCTGAACGCCGAGCAGGACACTAGTAAGCTTCAACTGTGATCTGAATGTCCAGTCCAAAACAGCTTGCATATACTACCAAACCGCCGGGCTGGTAGTATATCGGCAGCTGTGTGCTGGAAAATTCAGACCAGATAAGGCTTTCTGTGTTCCTGGCTGCAGGGTGGTCATCTTGCCTCGACGCTACACCCAAGCTTAAATCAAAAAAATGGTTTCTCATGTGATCCTGGTAGGTTGTTAATGGGAACTATTCGCCATCTTTCATAGATCTCATTAGAAGCGCCACCGCATCTTGTTAAACTGTCTAAGGATCTGATAGTAACATAAAATTACTGGACCATGCACCTACTTCTGGAGTTGAAGCTAGCCAGGTCCTTAACCTATTACTCACAATAGCGTTTCTCAGTTGGGGCCTTGACATACTGGGGATATGTTGTTTGAAGAAACAGCTCCATGAACACACAAAAACGACGAGCTCTTCCACCACAGCTTCTCTCTGCAAAACGCTTTTGAATTGCATTTTGACGCCTTTTAGAAACGCTTTACTATGACCAAATTGGTTTAGCTATGCTCAAAATGAAATTAGGGGTGTAAATTGCACCGTCAGTGAAGAAAAAGAGAAACCGACGAGTTCTTTGAAAGTAGGAATTTTCTCCTCTCGAGTCGTGAACCGTCTTGGGGAGACAGATAATTACGATACACTGTGTGCCAAGTCGAGAAATAAAACGAGAGAGCACAGGGACGGATGAGACGCAGACGCATCGCTGCGTTAATCTATTACGTAGTTACAAGAGGAACTGCGGTCAGCGAAAGGGGTCATGAAAACGCAATAGCCCCCTGTCGCGCTTCGTGCAGCACTTCTAGGAGCTAATTACCTTTTGGTAGACACAGTAGTATTCTGGAGAGGGATTAATCCTATTGAAATTTGTCTTCAAGCTTGTTTTTCACAGGTCATGCAGTGTGTGGGAAGTTGCTGCGATTCTCTAATGAGCGCTGCCATCCGCACAGCGTTCGGATGCTGGAACGACCGGTGAGTTCACGGTCGTTTCCTCATATTTGTTATTTTCAAACTCTTTTAAGGCTCCCTTCAGGTAGTGGAAATGGTATATGTGGGTAACGGGACGTTTTATGCTCAATCAGACGCTGAACATCTCCATGGAAGGAACACACCTCGTGCTCGTGCTACGATTGTGGCCCCAATGTACGTTCGAGTCATCGTAGTGAACGCTAGTTGGGGAATCATTTTTTGGCCCTTATTGATTGGACGCATATGCGATCCATTGATTGGTTTATGCAGCCAAGTAGGTGGGGGGGGGGGACGAATTAGGGTTCCCAATACACACGCAATGAACCCAGCCCGAGCATTTCCGACCCGGTCATGAACCACTCTGTTGTCCTGCCGACACGGCCATTTTCGAATCTGTTGATTGTGGACTCCTCCCCCGCTTTTCCCTCCCCCCCGCGCCTTCAAGAAAACCAAAGTAGACGTCATAGCCCCTCGATATCCTATTGATGTGTGGTGGGGTGTCGCTTTGAATCCCTTCAACGACGCCCAAAATATTTACATCACTCACGCTCACAAAATACCAGGGCAGTAGCAAACAGACATCGGAGCCGCTACGCGACCGCGCGCGGCAGTTTTCGTACCACCTGCCCTGCTCCATGCCAAAGGATGTAGTGTACAAGTGCGAGCTAATGGCCTGCTGAATGTTCAAATTACGAAACAACTCTCAATTGTCCATTTTGCAGGTTCCCGAATGCCCAGCGGGCTTTGTGATCGGTTCGGACTGCACTTGTCAGTGTGTGCCAACAAGAGTGATCGTCACAACTGTCAAGGTGGTTTCCATTCAACTAACCCCTCCACCAACCACCCAGCAAACCCCTCGGATCGTAACAGCGCCCGATCTGCTGGCAAAGATAAAACTCGGTGTTAAAAAGATTAAACAACACTGTCGAGCACGTGCATCGCAGTCGTCCCTTGACAGGCTGCGTTCGGTATGTGAAACGTCCAAAAAACGCCTTCTTGTCTGTTGTGTTCCTCAGGAGATTGCTTGATTTTGCCGTCAGTATTGAGTACTAAACCTGTGAACTAAGAGCTGACTTCTGACTTCCTTGGTCCATTTTTCCAGCCGGTGAAGTGCACTAATAAATTTGTGTAGCAGATTTTGTTCAGTATCTGACTCACAGTCTAGCGGTTTCAGAAGAAAATTCAAGAATTTGTGCTCTTAAAGGCAGCGGTCACGATCATTGAAGGTGTTGCGGTTTTGATGACGTCATTGAACGTCATGGGTGGATGAATGTTTGGAGGCGATCCAAACCACGCCCCCAGCGCGCTGAGGGGTCTTACCCACCAATGAACGTTCAACGAACCGTACCTCCGTCTAGCCATCGTGATCACTGCCTTTAAACCTCATGCTCTGAACACAGTGTTGTTGATTGTTGCGCTCAATGGTGACGAATACTGTGATGAAGTGGGGGGGGGGCTCCATCAATTCTCAGACTAAAGATTGAGGAACCGATTAACTTTACCCACTTTTCCCTTTGAATAACTGCTTGTATGTGTGTTACTATTCAGCACAAAGAGATTTGCAATGTGTCACAGTCCCTCTCATGAAATCGTCCTTACCGAGCTTGTTTACCTGGCTTATTTACCTAACCTTTGAGAATGGTTTGTGGTGATTTTCATAGCACATTCCGCTGACCTGCCTCCGATTTGCGAGCGGTTTATGCTGTGTGTTTCCTAAAGGAGAGATTGTTTAGCTTACATTTTTTCTGCGATCGGGGTTTTCTCCCACGTTGGGAATCCTGAGATTCTTCATTAAGTATACCGATAACTTTGAACTGAATGCGCGCCTGTTTCTGGTGGGCACTCGAGAGACAGGAAAAACAGCTGGAGGAACGTTTTGCGGACCGAGTCCTAATGAGTATCCGCCTCGCTGGTTCCGGACAAAATCTCGTTCGAACACTTTGCTTACCAAAGCGAAAATGCCACCCAGCGTTTAGTGGACGTTTGAGCCCGCGCACACGATGGTTAGAGACCTCGGTCAGACTCGGCGATTGCGTCGCTGGACACCAGCGACGGAGCCGCCAGCGACGGAGCCGCCAGCGACGGAGCCGCCAGCGACGGAGCCGCCAGCGACGGAGCCGCTGGCGACGGAGCCGCCGGCGACGGAATCGCCGGCGACGGAGCCGCCCGGCACAAGAGTGGCACAGCGGGCGATGACTCATCACGATCGATATCGGTTGGCAGAGGGGAGATTAATCATCCTCACCCATGGTTCAATTGTTGTGCTCGGTTTTTTTTTTCAAATGGTGTGATGATTATTCTTCCCCCTGCCAACCGATATCTACCTTAACATTTTTAGTGTTTGCTTTCTAGGAAACGCTCTATAATTGTTTGCTTGTTTGCTCTATAATTACTGAGGCATACCGTTGATCATGATTTCGTTTCCTTGCACATAAAACATCTCACTACAACATCTACATCTCACTTCTCCTACGGTTCTATTTTTAGTCCCAAGTTTTACCTATGTGTAGTGCCTCTGCCAACCGATATCGATCGTGATGAGTCATCGCCCGCTGTGCCACTCTTGTGCCGGGCGGCTCCGTCGCCGGCGATTCCGTCGCCGGCGGCTCCGTCGCCGGCGGCTCCGTCGCTGGTGTCCAGCGACGCAATCGCCGAGTCTGACCGAGGTCTCAGCGCAACTGGAATTGCGATTGAGACCATCTCTGGCGTCAATGAGGCTCAATGACGCCACCAGAACGGCTCCATCATCGTGTTCCCTGCCTTTGAGGGTGGGCTAGCGTCGAGAATTCCCCGCTAAGGTGGACGTGCTTGTCTCCATGAGAACTATCTTAGCCTTTGGGAGGAGAGGATTGTTTCAGCCAATGTTTCTCGACGCGCGGCTCACCCTAGTTGGCTTCGCAGCCTTAGTTCATGCTACTGAATAGTAATAGATGGTTTAATCCCGAGGACAGAAATTTGGGATACCCTTCTCAAGCACGTGCATCGACACAGCCTTGCAAAAAACCTTCAACTGACAGCAGTATTTTCCTAAAATTCCACTAGCCTTATCATTTCTTACATTTTTTCGTTCGTTCCATTGGTGGGCTGGAGAACGACAATAAGGGAAGGTAGCTCCATGGGAAAACCCCTTGTTGAGTCGTTTTGGTTGAAAACCACATCGAGAGGACAATGATGGCTGTAATTTCAAGGTAATCGAGAATGGAACGAGGACAAGTGCAGGTGCGTATGTGAGCCGACGACCTGTCCCCACGACCAGATGTTCGACCACGATCGATGCGACTGTGTTCACAAACGGCGACGCGATGAGGTACTGTAGCTCAAAATGAGATGAACTAAACTTAAAATTGCAATATTTCCAGGCAAACAGCCCAGAAAGTCAATCTATGTGGTATAATTATTAATTCATGCGGATATATTATATTTCCCTGAGCGGGGTGGTGCAGTGACGAGTAGCGCCACCTATCGCGCGCATGGTCAAAGTCCGGATGAATTTTTTATGGGCCTAGTAACCCTTCATCCCTCTGGGGTCTACTGGCTGCTATGGGTTATATGTGGCTCCTTCTGAGCGAAGAAGGAGCTCAATTATAGAAAGACTGGCCTCGGCACTGTGCGATTGCGTTCAAATAGAACTGCGATTTTGAATGAAAGTCGTGTGCATGGCGTATCACCAGGAGCGATAAACCGACGACTAGCTTTTTAGCTTTCCATCTTTATATTTCGGTCTGAATAATTTTCGTCCTTGGATCGTTGACCATGGAAGGTTAGCCCGAGTTAGTTGCATTTGGGGTGAAAGACTGAAAAACCTTCAACAAATCGATTGAGCTTTCAGTTCTTCACCCGGAGGTTCGACCCATGAACAGAAGCGCGAGCACCTTTTACCCACGGGGTGGTTCGAGTCTTTGCCCTGTCTATGGGAGCTTCTCCCAGAGTGAGCCGTCACATTGGGCCTTTCGAAGGCTCTACGACCAGCGCCCTCCACCACAAGAACCCCCTTCTCCTCCCTTTTTTTCCACCATGGCCGATTCTGTAATGTCTGCTTCTCGCTGGTCATGGTACTGTGCGGGAAGTGACACACTCCTGCTCCGCCCAAAAATTTCTTCAAAACTTCGTCAAGGGAAGGGGGAGGGGCGTGGGTAAAAGCAGCTTCTCGAACGGCGCATTCCATGCACTTTTCGTGAGAATTGTATGAAGATGTCACCCCCCCCCCGCCCACCTCAATCCCCCAAAACGACCAACTGCGAAAATGCGACCCCCGCTCGAATTGCGCGAACGGCTGATCGTGGCCTACGCCTCTTTCTAGTGGAACTGCATTAACTTGGGATCCACGGACATTCAATTCCTGGGGTATCAACTACCCCTCCCAATACCGTTCATCGAAGCCATCCAATCAGTTTCGCGAAGCTGAAAAGGAGCCTGTATACGGCTCATACCAAAAATCAGTGGAACGACAAATTTGGACTTTTGATACACTGAGTATCTTGGATTATGGTCTAATAATATTAGAGCGGCGGTTAAGAATGCTTCTGCCTGGAGATGCGCCGTGGCACACTCTTTACATAGAACCTCGCACTCTGGGTTATGGGCTGTGGTTTTGCAAGAGGCTTCCGAAAGTTCAACCAGAATCACTCTACGTTCAGAGGGCGATCTTTTTGTAAGAAATCTTTTACTTGCCCAGATAAATCATCCGTACGCGACCGAACTCCTCCGGCCGTCGATTTGTCGTCGCTGCCGAAACTGAAAGCGAGAGTCGTTCATCACAATCATGGAGTCTGACTGGAACCATAACCTGCACTTTTAAATATATATAACCGATTAAATAATAATTTTGAAAATGAAAGTGTTCTGTACGAGTTGAGTTTGTCCATACTAGCAGAACTACTGGTGGAGACGTCCAAGAAAGGCAGTTAGGCATTGTTCATAGTTTTGGAACCATCGGAATATTCGAATCTGCGAAAAGAAAAAGATACGTATCGACCAGGTGAATCCGCGCACGCGCGAACGCGGATGCGAAAAGGTTTAGATGCGTATCGACGTAGTAAACCACGCCCTCATGCTGGTCACCTTGTCAGCACGGCAGTGAAGTCGGATTCATTTCGATTTCCGTTTCTCCACGGATTACCGGAGCGGGCTCCCCGCTTTATTGAGAGAAAACATCTATTTGATCCTGATGAGGGCTCGGAGCACCCAATTTCGGCATTCAGAAGCTCAATGTCTATCCAGCCCTCCTGAAGGAGCAGCCCAAAAAAAGTGGTTGTGAAAAATTGTTCCCCATCATGACTGATCGATTTCTTCCTTCTTCCATAAGAGGATGGGTATAAGAAGGTCAGGCATTTTTGCGGCACACCATGCACTTGAAATCGTAAGTGTCCTAGCACGCGCTTTCTTTCTTCCAAAGTTGGGCCAAATTTGAGCCACCTGAGCGACAGCGGGCTTGAGGCACGGCAGACGCCATGGTAGCCGTGCTTCTTGCCACCCCATCTCCACCTGGTAGAAAATTCACAAGATCCATCTTCCACGACTGAGATGAAAGGGCTTTCGAGATCGTACCTTTAATAAAGGGCAACTAAACTTAGAATTACGAGAGCGTGATTGATCACAAAGAGGAAGTTAGAACGTCCGCCGAGCGCCAATTTTCGAGCACATTAAGCTTGACTTCTCGTTGAAGCCCTCTCGGCACATCGCTGAACATTATAAAACAAGTCCGAGCGCAGTTCGGCCAAAAATGGCGATTGTAGCCCACACCTCTCCAATGCGCGCTAACTCCGCCCAAATATGACGGGAATTCGGGTTTTTGTGCCCAATCACAAATATCTTGCGACTTGTCAACCCCCTTGAAAAGCTGACCACCGAAACATCCAAAAACAGTCCCTAATGTGGAAATAGTCGTCGTTGAACGAGGTCGACGCAGCGGAGCTCCCACGGCGGGTCCCAGCACGATCGGCGACTGGCCGCGCGCCCTTCATCGCGCGACGCAGTCGATGACGAATCGCGGCCAGTTGGCGGCCGGTCAGTGGCCAGGTGGCTGTCCTTGCGGTTAATTTGTCCTCTACAAGCCCTTTGGGTTGACTCATTTCTCTTCACAGCCACCCTGCTGTTCATCTGTTGGGAGGGGGCGGCATGGCTCAGTGGGAGCTCCGTCCGATTCCGATCGATTGACCCTCTGCTTTGATCTTTCAAGTTCCGTTTGGAGCTTGGCAATACGCTACCATTCCTGCTGGAGTTTCCTGCAAGAACTTGCACGTACTTGATTCTTTGCTTTCGAGAGCAAGCGCCAATTTTCTCTCCATGGTTTTCTCGTGTTTTTCGTTGCTTGTAAACTATTTCGCAAGCGATCATCTTATTACTTTTTCAATTTGTTAAGAAACCCTTCTTTATATCATCCCAGTTCCCTCTCATTAAGATGGAACGCACGCTTAACACTAGACGTGCGCTTTTCTGGCCATCCTGTCAGGGGAACGGGAGCTCGCAAGGGCGCTATCGCAAGGTACGGGGGCATTTTCTAGCACTAAGCCTATGAAAGGGAGGAAATCTGGGGAATATGAAAAGTGTTTTCGCTCCCTGGAGTCTCTCCTTCCCCGTCTAAGGATTAGTCCAGTTTTAAAAAAAAGGGGATGCACCAAGCGGTTTGAAGTGCATTGCCACGTCGATGCCCCCGTATGTTGCGATAGCGCCTTCTCATGAAATAAAGCATAATCTCAATCAACTTACCTCACTTCCTCGTTTGCGCCTATATGTTTCCCTTAAAGTCGTTTTCACGTGTTTTTTTGTTCTCCGGCCGTATGCTGAATGTTGGGTAGGGGCTGGGGTCCCCGACCCGCGATGCTGAATGTTGGGGCTCCCAGCAGAGTTTCGTCGCGGGACCTACAGGTGACTGGCCAGTCCTTTAATTCTGTGATGAAGTTTTTGTCTTTTCACTACTTCTAGATTATACAGAATCGTCCACGCACACACTGCCATATCTTGAAGTAATACACCAATATGGCACGAAGTAATTGAAAAGGCGCGAACCAAACTTCAGTCTAAAGTAGTGAATGGACAGACTGGCAAGATTACGGCAATGCAGCTGGACGTACACGAACGCTCCAATATGTGAAAGAATCAAAGGATAAACTAAAGCAATTACAACAACATAGCTGCATTTACGTGGACAAATCTACAGTGTAAAACAGTAAAAAAGCGAAAAAGTAATCGTAAAATCAAAGGACCGGTCAGTGGCCGCCCGGTCCCGCGACGAAACTCTGCTGGGAGCCCCAACATTCAGCATCGCGGGTCGGGGACCCCCAGCCCCTACCCAACATTCAGCATACGGCCCTTGGTTCTTATTTCCTCCTATTCCTGTGTATATATAATCCTTTACAACAGATCTTATAAGCAGACGGATATTGGCTATCCTCCCCCTACATATTTTATTGTCCTTTCATCGTTACTATTAAGTCATCATCCGCGCTCCTTCCTAATCAAATTCCACTGAGCTACCTTTCAGTATATGGAAGTTTTCTCTTCCTGAACATTTTCCGATCTCTATGGAAATAATGTAACTCTAAAACCTCACAAATCCATTTTTTAGTTGACCAATGTGGGCATTCGTCCGCAGAACATTTGCTTTGCAAACGTCACAATGGAGTCGGACAAATTCATCGTCGTCCGTGAAATGTAATGTAGTTGTCTAGATTGCCTTTGGGACGACATTTATTAATTTCTTTTTCTTTTTTAGAGTGGGAACTCCCAGGAAGCGGTAATAATCGATCTCGAAGAACCGCTGCCGGAGGACTGGTCCCTAACTCACTCTTCTTTTTAGATAGCTTTTCCATTAAGTCGGATATTAAATCCGCTTCTCCAATTTCCATGGAGCGCTAGGAATCTCATTTCCCAAGTGGGAGTACATACCCGATTTGCATTTATACTAACACTTCAAGGAGGGTGTTCGGACGCATTCTCTCTGTAGTCCCGTATTGTCACCTACTCCCACTCTAAGACTTTTTGATTGTACAATTCATTATAGATTGGGGAATTCTCCCGCAAGTTGTTATTATCTGATCTCGCAATCGCCTGATGAATCCACCAAGCGACCATTATCTGCCTTACTCGGTCATTTTATTTTGGCATTCCATTCAGCGGAAGAATATCGCTCTCCCACCCCACCATGTAATAATATTATGTTTTTCTGGAAAATATAGATTGAGTCAAACAGGTTCTAGCAATTCCCGGACGGGGGCAGTGTTCCCCTGGGGTAAAGCTAGTTATTGCTGGTCGTCGTGTTTTATACCCATTTATTTACAAGCTGCAGAAAGCGTCTATCTCTAAGCCCTATTACGTTTTTCACAGAAATGCTCTCTGTAAGGCGGAAAATGACTTCTCGGCTAACTTTTGAGATGTCTTTTTGAGTACCCTTTTTAAGCGGTGATATACCGATTTTTCTGCCTGTCATTCGCGGACACAATGCAGACCAATTGCGAAATTATTTTTGTAGACTTTAGTCCTTGTTTAGTTCCATTGGAACTTTAGTTCTACTTTGAGTAACTCTTTCGCTAGAATGCAAGAAATGTGCTCGAAGCCGTCCTCATAGTTTTACATTGTTATTCGCAATTAAATTTTTTTACTTCCACATCACGTTTTGAGTAGTTTCGAGAAATCAAGTAGTTGTGAATATTCCTTAATCAGGTAGGCTCCCAATCAGAGTATAGCAGAACCTTTCGCTGATATTTAAAATTTGATGGATAAGTCGTTTCACCTTGATGTCGAAATTTTTCACCTGTCGGTCTGCCTCATGAAGAAAGAGCCATTCTCTTCCTTCCTGCAGTGTAAATTACCCGTGCAGACGTAAATTGAGGGCAAGTACCGCAATCGGCCGCCAATTACCTGAAATGATTCTTCCCATGTTCATATGTCATCACAGACAGATTCGGTGTTTTTCTGAATAAATAGTGCCGCAAATTTCCCGCTGTTTTCCATCACCTGCGGCGATATTTATTTGGACAGCGAAGCTTTTGAGCTCTTTTCATTCGTTTCCACACTATTTCTCCTTGAAATAACCGGTTTCCGTCAGCAAGGCGATGTGCGGCGCCGCTCAAACGTTCCTATGAACGGCTTTCTTTAGCGATTCGATTCACGCGACGTCTTTCTGATTAGGTTTGATGAGTTTGATAGGCTCGATTTCGTTGCAATCAATGAAGAATTTCATGCTAATAACTTTTGTTCCCAATGATTGTTGTGGACTTTTTTACAGCGGGTAAAACTCTGCAAATATTCAACATTGAGCTGAAAGCGAAGGTAAAAGCACATCAAAATGCCGAGGAGATCATTTTCTGGAAGTGGATTAATGAGAAAACAATCGCTTTGGTCAGTGAGACAGCTGTCTACCACTGGTCTATCGAAGGTAAGAGGCAGTCATCTTCCCATCATCATGAATTTTCACAACATCCCTTTAGGAGAAAGTGCACCAACGAAAATGTTTGAACGACATCAGTCGTTGGCTGGTAGTCAAATTATCAACTATCGTGCTGACGCCGAATGCAAGTGGTTGGTTCTTGTTGGGATAGCTGCGAAGGTGAGCTGTTGATCATCAGTAGGTGCCTTGGTAACGAAATTCGGCTTACTTTTATTCATACGCATACTTTAAGGAAAATCGCGTTGTTGGAAGTATGCAGCTGTACAGCACCGAACGACGGGTCTCACAACCGATCGAAGGGCACGCCGCTTCTTTCGTTCGCTTTAAGATGGACGGAAATCCTCACCCATCCAACTTGTTCTGTTTCTCTGTTAAGAATGAGGCCGGAGGCAAAGTAAGAATTAAATCCACTATTTCAGAATGTTGCAAAACTGTTCTCTTTTCTAGTTCCCATGAAATCTATGCATGTCCGTTGGAGTCCGATCTTAACACAAGAAATTCATGGGTGGTCATTTCAGCTTCACGTCATTGAAGTCGGGTCACCTCCTGCTGGAAACCAACCTTTCCCGAAGAAAGCCGTCGATGTTCCGTACACCGCCGAGACCGCTAATGACTTCCCAGTTTCGATGCAGGTTCGTCGCTATTCGAGAAGTTTTCTTGATAGTTACCCTAACAACATCTTTATCGCCACCGTTTTCTCTAGAATTACGCAATTTTTGGCAGAAATTTGATTGCCAAGCGAATGCAACCACTCGGTTCTGAAACTGGAAGGAATGATGTGTCCTCATTTTTTTTTGAGAAACTCATGCTACAGAAATATGACTGCACAAATTATAGTACTTTTCAACACATCAGTCGTGATTTATAAGCGCGCCAGATATGTGTAACAGTGTTTTTTGCATGTTTAATACGTTTTCGCCGTGAGTCACCCTTCTGATTCCCTACGAGGAATAATACATTGACTTTCGCGTCGCTGTAATTCTCGTTTTATATCAAGGCTGAGAATCGATAGGCCATCATCTCCTTAAAGACGTCGTTCAGAGTGATTCATAGCAGCGCGAGGGCATTATGCTGGGCGATTGCTATTGCTTCTGCTAAATTTAGTGGGAACTCATAAAATTGCCAACTTGAGCAGAGTTTTCTCGATTGGGCTTTTGAGATGGTCTTTTACTTACTTTAATCTCAAACAACGTTATTTGAAGCACGACACAGAATTATTTTGCTGCTCAAATAGTCACGTTGATAGCATAATTCTATCCGAATTTAATGATCCGTGTGGCGATGTTGTTTACTGGGGTATCGCACGAAATTCGATACGCATTTGTAAACATTGCAACATGCAGGAAGGTGAACATAGTGAAGCCTGATGTGGGCAGAATTCAGTGATCAATAAATGCTTTTGTTGAAACCGAAATAATTTATGTGAAAGTTTATGGGCCGTTCTAGTTCATTGTTCCTGCAGTGATTCGGAAATTTAACTAGCCAGATAAACTCCTGACAGTTTCCAGAGTCTCTTCATAGAGTACTATCTCAGTTTTCCTCTAAATTTAAATATCAAATGTGTAAGATGGCATGCGGGCGCGTATGGGGAAAGGATTGTGCTGCTTCTTTCGTCCTATGAGACGGCAAGAACTTGCATGAAAAGGGTCCTACCTATTTTTACGGGAAATGATAGCTCATTCTGTTTCGATTTTTTAAGCATTTTTATCAGTATTACCAATAGACTGAATAGAAGCAAA